TGTTACAGCTTTTCTAGTGTTAAACGTAACTTGCATTATGCATTTCCAAAATAGATTGTAAATATTGATACCACTTTTTGTTTGGGAGACCAGTAATATAAAAACAATAAAAATCAAAATGTTACGTTGGTACTTTCCATTCCAATATCGATCGAATAGCCTTATACATGTAAGTCATAAAATGATCCCTGAAAATCTAAGACAAATATTAATGAAAGTTACTTTAGCTTGAGAAGTACTTCATCTATAATCTTATCGGCAATGGCAAGGTTTCATTTACCTTATCACTCTGAGGACTAGATTTGAGTAAGAGTCTGAGGTTTTGTAACAAGGTGCCCGGGATTAGTGTTGTTAATTTCATTGGTGTATACCTGGATAAATTCTACATGTAGAGGAGATACGAAGGAAAAAAGTAATCTGAAAAATTAAAACTAATTGAGAACCTACTTAGCCTAATTAAATTGGCAATAACTACTCCAATATACAAGAACCAAGTTTGCCAGACACGCAGGTTTTTACTGTAACGCCTAAGCGTTCGACCCAAATCAAACTCTTCATTTTAGGCAAAGAAAAAGTTATTTCTCAGTTCCTCCGTAAAAGGAAGATCTTAAAACGATTCTTATCAGCGCTACCACAAAACAAGAAAAAAAAAACCTCTTGGTTCGCTTTGATTTGTCATTGCTTTGTCGATGGGAAATTTGGAATGGAAATAATACCCATTTCGTGGATTTCCACGATACGGATTGGTCGATATATGGCTATTCCGAAAAAGAATACCTGGAGCCCTCAGATCATCAGACATGGCGAGGAAACGGCGTCACGGAAAGAACCCGACAAGCCTTGAAACCTCCTACAATGTTTTCTGTCAAGTACCGTCAAAAAGTTTCGAAGCCCCAACAGCCCGCGCGCTTATGGATAGAGGTCTACGCAGAAAAAAACATTCTACTTTTATCTGATTGTTGATACAAGCCTCTAGACTCCCAGAGATGCGGTCTAGCTGGCCAGGCCTACAACTGGCTGGATGAACCCAGGGTCACTCTGGTACTAAAATCAACATTACAATAACGAAGCTGTGGACAAAAAGGCTATCGTTTCCACTAAAATTTTACCACGTTA